CCTCCTGTCCAACAGCCTCATGCAGGAGCCCATGCTGGCAATCCTCATCTGGCCCAAGCTTGTGTTGCGCCTCCTCTCCAACAGCCTCCTGCTGCAGGAACAGCGTGGCAGCAATGGCAATGGGGGCACCAACAACAGCAGCAATGGCATGGTGCGCATCAACAGCAAGCATGTGTGCAGCCTCAATGTGCAGCCCCTCCAGCAAGCTTTCATCCACAGCAAAGGCCATGTGTTCATGGCCCACAGCAAAGGCCATGTGTTCATGGCCCACAGCAAAGGCCATTTGTTCAGCCCCAAGGTACAGCTTGCCAAGTGCCATTTTGTCAGCCTCAAGCTGGTAGGCAACAAGTTGCACCACCATGGCAACAAGCTGTGCCTCCAGCCCAGCAAGCTCAAGCTACAGGAGTCCAGCCATGTGCATCAAGCTCTATGACTCCACAGCCACAGCAGCCTGGCCAAGGACAGGCTGAACTACCCAGCCTGGAGGATGCCACAGACCTTGCCAAAAATCACCATTTGTTCAACAGCTTCATGTCTGAGAATGTTGCTTCAAGGACTTGGCCCTTTGGTGAGGAAACAAACTACCATACTATGAAAGACCTCATAGACTTTGCTGCCTTTTGCTTGAAGCATGGGGAGAATGCGCCTTTTCCCATCTTTGAAATGGTATCAGCATGCCAGGAAAAAAGATGAGGTTGAAGATGGCAGGGTGAAAGAAGAGACTGAAGATGAGGCTGAAGAGGTGGCAAAGCAAGAAGGTGATACAGAGTCACCATCATGTGCAGATGAAGAGGTCAGTACCTTCTTGCATGCAATGGCACAGCAGGAGCAGGATGGCCAGGATGCTGATGTCAAACCAGAGGAAAAGACTGTGGAGACCAAGAACCAGAGTACGCAAACAATCCTTTTTTCCTACATGATGAAAGAGATGCCTGGGGATCCTGAGCAAGTGGATGAAAAGCAGATTGCCAGAGATGCCAGGGCAGCTTTCAAAAAGTCAAAGAAAGATGCAAAGAAGACCAGGAAGAGGAGCAGATCAAGATCTCTTGAGTCTGTGAAATCAGGCTCAGTGTTTCACCCTTGACAACTTGACCATCCTGAGAGGGAGTGAAAATTGTGAACCAATTGCACTCATCTCTG